TAGGGGAGTATCCGGGGTCTTTCGTATGACAGATGCAAATCCAGCATCCCGTATGAATTTAAGAATTGAGATTTCAATTCAAAAAACACTCACTTATAAAAATTTACAAGTTGAATTCGTTACATGTGTATATATATATATATATATACACGCGCAGTTTCCGCTCAAACATCCTGCGAATGGCTCGTAAGGCCTTATATATTTCTTGTTATTAATTTCAACGAGCCTTAAGTCATAATTGTTTAAAGCACAATTAGCTCTTTATCGCAATTTGATAATAAAAATACGCTATAACTCTATACTTTGTTTATATATATACAAGTCGATATAAAATTAATAAAACTTGAAAAAAAAATCGGTGTGAAATAATCGGCTTAGTGCAAAATATCTGGTTTTTTTTGTCACAAATACGAACGTTGTTGCAGAATTTTTTAATCAATCATAAAAACATATGAAACGTGCCGCACGTGTCTCGAGAGTAACTCGCACACCAGTCATCAGGCTTTCGAGTACGCGGAGATGTGTTTTTCTCCCGTGAAATAAGATATGTTACGAGGTGCATACACCTGAAACTTTTGCGAATGTGCTCAAGCCGTATAATATATCTTTCAAGTTTGCGTAAAAGCCGCAGTCGGATATTCCCTACAATACAGCTCAGTTTCTTTAGGCCACCGATGCCAATTTATCGCAAACTGAGCATCTAACTCAGAGAAATTGTAAAAGTTCCGCGTGAGCGAACTGCGCGTTTCGAGGCGTGCGCCGATAAAAATCGACGACCCAGAGAGAAACGTAGCCGATCGATTAGGCGTTCGCAAAACGTGACGAACATTTGGACGGTTGGTTTTTGAAACGTTTATAATTCCTCGTTTTTTTTTTTTTTTAATTTTTTATTAAGGCACACGTGGCGCGCCGCAAACGTGAAACACGCAAACGTTCTTAATATACAAAAGAGCTTAAATATACACTATATGTATGTGCAATAAGCGATTCGTGACCATTCGCTCGCATTTCACGCAATTTCTATGCATGCGCGTTATTACAAAGTTACATATTCGCGATTGGAAATATTCATAGTTCTATATTTATAGTAAATTAAAGAATCTTTAAGGCTCCGAAGTTTCCAAACTAATAAATATATATATTCGGTCATAAGAGCCGTTCGCTAGGTGCTGTGCGGAAAATATACGTGTATATACAGGGTGTCCCAGAATTGCAGTACAATCTCTCGTAGGCAGGTAGAAGGAATAAATAACTGAGTCGAGAAGTCTTGAACTATTTTTTTCTATTATTTATAATAAAGGAGTAATTATTGTGTAAATCAGGCCAATCAGCGCAGACCTTTAGCCAGGCACACGTCAGTGAGCACTCACACACATCAGGCGCGCGGCTCACTGACGTGCGCCTGGCTAAAGNTCNNCGCTGATTGGCCTGATTTACTCAATAATTACTCCTTTATTATAAATAATAGAAAAAAATGGTTCAGGACTTTTCGACTCAGTTTTATTTCTTCTACCTGCCTACGAGAGATTGTACGGTAATTCTGGGACACCCTGTATATACATATATACGTGTTCACGTGTAAATTTTTACACGTAAAATTCGAATTGTAATAACAATCCTAAAATTCATATAGGATGCTATACTTGCATCTCGTATACGAGAGATCCCAAATACCCCCCTAATTGAAATTAAATTTATATTGCAAAAAAGAATTTTTAGAATTGTTATTACAATTCGAATTTCACGTGTAAAAATTTACACGTGAACACGTATATATGTATATATATATACACGTATAATTTCCGCACAACACCTAGCGAACGGCTCTCATGACCGAATATATATATTTACTATATTTATAGTTTTTTATGTAATTTTTTTTCTCTCGATTATTCGTTTAATAATATATCTCTCGCGATCTATGCGAGTAAAAGCGCACAAATGAGTTTTTATCGATTACATTAATTAAAAGTCGCCGGCGAGAAGACTTTCTCGCATTTCGCGTAGCCTGAATCCGCGCCCGCTCCACTGCGATAAGAGATTTCCCGTAATATAATCGCAAAATATATAGTTTTGCCTCCCTCGCAACGAGTGCGGATATCTATATTTGCGCGAGCGTGCAAATATAGCAGTACAGCCGTTATCAGCTACCTGCCGCGATTCTTTCTGTATAAAAATATGGCACACATCTCCGCGCAAAAGCCTCCGATCGCTCCTCTGAGAATCGGCGCCGACCGACTCGCATTGTATGTATATGAGGAAATGGATCCGGGCAAAACCGAGTGGAGCCAACTTCCGTAAACTTCCGGTCGAAGACATTGATGGAACGCTTATTCCCTCATCTCGTTTTTTTCCCGCAAATCGCTCGCAGACGCAATCGTCAGCCGCCCCCAAAGAAAACCATTTAGGAATTTATTACGCAGCCCCCATGAACATTTGTTCGTCGTCAGAGTGTTATTCCCACGATTGCTGCATCATCAGATCGCGTAGATCTACTACGCGGAGATACGACGTTTCTGATATTGTAAACGTAAAACCCCACGGCAATTTCGGCTTGTTACCAGTTTATCAGTATCGGACGATCGTGTTATCGCGCGAATTACCATTCGAAACTCAATTGCGATGTTAAAACGAGAAAACACAGAATGTCTCCCTATCTCGTGTAGAGAGAGACATGATCGATCGTGAATTATCGAAGATCGAATCGAATAAAAAAATAATATCTCGGTGTCAAAGAGCGAAGACAACAAAATCGTGTTGTTGGAAACAAATTCGAAACCTCGGAGGATTTTATAAATTAATATGTCTAATGAGGAATGCAAATAGTTGAGAGAAACTTTAATATAGATTACACAAGGGGATTCCTCTGCGTATTTCTAGAGATATCCCATCAGCACGCGGATCGAAATGTAGATTATCATAGGATAGAAAAAGAGATCCCTAGCCACGTGCAACTCATCTCCGCGATGTGAAGGAATTCGTTCGAGAAGCGTGGCTAAATGAAAATTCTTAATCTTCCCGTTCCACCGTCTTACACACATACCAAAGTCGTTAATATATATGATAAGATTCGCGACATCAATGTTGGCGGAGGAGCTTTCCTTTTTTTGATAAATAGCAAAGAAATTTTGGAAATAAATCTTTTACGCGCGCACACAAAACTTTTTCGCAAGAT